CACTTCTCCAGCCACCCCAGGGAAGGGCTGCCGGGGAGCGTGGATGTGGGAAGCGTCAGACACAGGGTGTCACCGGAGAGAAACAGAAAGGTGGGAACACCAGGGAGTTGAAACTGGGGGACCCGAAGTGAGTGCCCCACCTTCCTCTGGGCTCTTCCGGAACGGCTGACCTTGAGTGCTAACAGCACTCCGGCCCCCACACCGTGGTGCATCCGTCGTGTTCTCTGGCAGCAGGCTGTCGTTCTGTCCGTCCGTACGGGTCTCGGCCTGTGCAGCATCTGTGACGCTTTGGTTCCCGCCCCCCGCACCCGACTGTGATACTCAGTGTAGTTGATTGTCCCGTTCTCGTTTCATCGTGTTTATGCCTTTCTCCGAATCCTGTCGTTGTGTTCCTGCAGCTGTGTGACATGAGGGCCGCGGTTGTGGATACGTGTGAGGGGGATTTCAGGGTAAGCGGCCCCAGCTCGCCGGGCTCTGGCGCTCGCTCGGCTCTGCATGTGGCTCGGACCTCCCCCCGCATGGCAGCTCCGCTCCGTGCCTCGCCCCGGCCTCCGGGGAGCACTCCGGTCCGTGAGCTCCTCTGGCTTTCGGGGGATCACTGGCCACCTTGGCTCCGGCTGGCTTCGCGCTAGGAGATGGGGAGGAAGGCCGCAAGCAGGCTTCGCAGGCTCTCCCCTCCTCTGGCTCTCGGGCACCCGGGTCAGCCCCGCCATCCCTCTCCCTTTGGCCTAGTACCACAGGGCTCCCAGGTCTGTTCTTCCTGTGGCGTGTCTGTCCTTGGATTGCCTGCCACAGGCTTTGGAGCCAGGTGCCTCACTCGCTGCATACGCCTTGGCTTAGAGAAGTGTCCCCAGGAGGGTCCCGCCTGGCCCAGGGGACACGGCCTCCACTGCAGGGTTGGCAGCGGGTTCCCTGCGGCCATGGGGTCGTCCTGGCCGACCCCCACTTTCCGAAGTGGGCTCGACTCGTCTTCCTCGGGTCTGAACAGCGGGCAAGTCCTGAAGAATCCACAGTGGTAGGATTCAGTCCTCTGGGTTCATGTCCCCCAGGGCCTAGGGCCGGCTGCCTCCTCTCTCAGTATTGGGGGAGCATTTATATTGGGTTCTGCCTGCTCTCCTCTGGCCACAGGGAGCCGATGTTCAAAATTAAAACCAAGGGACAAGCAGGAGAGAAGCGGGAGGGAATCAGGTGTTCTTGTCACAGTCTGGGGCCGCTAGAGTAAACCAGGGGAGGACCCACCTTCCCCCAGTTCCCGCCCTCCAGAACCTCCACAAAAGCCGCTAAACCTTTGGTCCTGTGGAGACGGGGCAGGCACAACACAAGGGGTCCCTTGCCCCCCCACCCACAGCTGTCATTCCAGACGCTTCTGATCTGACAGTGGGGGCTTCTCCCCATCCTGCTCCCTGGCCATTGAGTTGCCTTCCCCGAGGGGTCTAAGGGAATGGCCAGGATCGGACCTGATAGGTCCAGGTCAAACCCGTCATCCACTCTGGGATTCCCCTTTGGGCCACAGGTAAGGTAAACACGCCCGAGGCCACACTCGCTGCGTGATAGAGATGGCATTTGAAATCTAACAGCAGGAATTAATGCTGCAGGGCAGGTGGCCCCAGCGGAAAGGGCAGGACACAGGCTGCTGTAGCTGTACCCCGAGGCAGGAGGAGTGAGTGTCACTGGCAGAGCCGAGCCTGGGACCCCTAACTCTGTGCTGAAGCAGTGAGATGAAGACAGGAATGACATTTTGGGGGCTGAGGGTGGGGGGGTTGGTGACAGAAGGACCTCTGTCCCACAGCTTCCATGTTTGTGTGTCTTCTAGCGCAGTGTCCAAATGTTTGTCCACCTGATATGGTATGTTTAGGCTTGAATGTTGACTTTACAAAAAAAAAAAAAGCTTAAGACTAAGAAACCAGCCCACACACCTCAGGCTGACCCAGCATTGCCCCTGTTCTAGGAACTCCACCCCCCACCCCCATTGTCTGGGTCTCCAAGAGGACAGCAAAGCTAAGTAGGGTCAGAAACGAGGTAGGCCAGGAGGAGTGACACCGTCAGGGTCCTTGGTTCTGGGGCCCACCACGCTCCCCCAGGGTCCACAGGCTCAGCACTGCCCCTCCCGCCCCCTCCTCTGTGGCCTTGCCTTAGAGCAGCCGGCTGTAAGGAATGGCCTGGTCTTTGCCAACTTGCAGAGGTCGGGAGTCCCAGATGCAGAGCTCTGTTGCCTCGGGCAGTCTCCCTAACCATCTCCAGAATGACCTTTCAGTGCCCGCAGTGAGGACATTCTGGGAGGGGAGCAGCTGTCCCGGTACCGAGATGTGTTGTTTATCCCCGGGCCTCCCCCGGTGGTTCACGGACTTGGAGAACGGGGTGCTTTTCACTGCCGCCTACCCTCCCTTCCTGCGGCCGCCCTGAAAGCAGCCTCCCTGCCGGGAACGGAGCCCGAGGGTGTGCGGAGAACGTGGCGCGGGAGCTGTCGCAGCGCTCCTCCTTGAACGTCCCCGGGCGGGTTGGGACTGGGGTGCTCTGGTCCTGTGCGCTCACGGGGTGAGCGGGAGCAGAGCAGCCCGACCCCAACCCCACCGTGCGCGAGGCTGCCTCCGCCGGCCCCAGGACGCGCCGGCCGGTGACCCCGCCACCACCCCCTCCCGCCGCTCTCAGCCGCCTCTCTCTCTGCCGCCTTGCAGATCTCGTCCACTTTGACATCCCCTCCATCCACGTAGAGCTCGGGCCGCCGCTCCGCCTGAGCCCACTGGAGCACGCTCGGCTACACTCGGTGACAGAGAAGAGGGACTCGGAGGAGGAGTCTGAGAGCACCGCCCTCTGACCCGCCCCGCCCCGCCCCGCCCCGCGTGTACAGACCCGGGCCCCGCCCACCACACTCCGCCCCGCCCCGGAGCGTCCCGGGCTCGCCCGGCTGCAGCTGTGCGGCTCGCGGTCCCCTCCGGCCTGCGTGGCCCGTGCGGGTGCAGACTTCCTTCGTTCCCTCGGGGTGGTGACTCTGGCCTTTTGTTTGATCTTTGCCTTTTGACTTTGTGCCTCTTTTGATCCACTTTAGCCTCCACGCCCAGCGGCGCCCCCTCCGCCCAAGGGCTTCGGTGTCAGAAAGGTCCTTTGCGGGTGTGGGCTGGTGGGGGCAGGGGGCGGCGTGCAGGAGGGTCGGCATGCCGGGATCCGCCCGCGGCTGCCGCCCGGGCTCTGACCCTCTGACATCTCGTGCCTCCAGTGAGGGAGGAGGGTTCCTCTCCCCTACAGCGCACGAGGTCTGGACCCTAGAAGGCCCGCTGCCCAAGCTGGGGTGGGGGCGCAGGGGAGGGGGCCAGCCCGTGTAAAAATCTTTCAGGCCGCCCTTACTGCGTGGGCTCTAAAAAGTCAATGGCTAAAGACAAAACCTGTTTCAATTCCTAACAGTTTGACTTTTTCCGACCCCGGGACTGAGCGCTCCCGTAAGGACCTTCTCCTTTTGTACTTCTGAGTTTAAAAAGATGATCCGGAGGGGGTCTGGAAGGCGCACAGTCCCCCCACCTCCCCCGCACCCCACAGCAACCTCTGCTGACAGTAATTCCAGCCCCCAGGCTCCCAGAGGCTGGGGGCAGGAGCCTGCCTCTCCCTCCTAGCAGCCACAGGGATTAGCAATAAATCTGTTTCCCAGAGCACGTGGAGGACAGTAGGGCAGCCTGAGGGGACACGAGGCAGGTGCCACTGGCACTGCCTTGTGACAGGCCTCGCTCAGCTGTGGGTCACCACGCTCCCTCTCGGGGAGTCCAGTCACACTTTGGGATTGAGGGATTGAGAGATTCGGGTCATGCATGCCAAGTCAAACTTTCCAATTTTATCCTTTTAAAATAGATGATATACCTATACAGGATATAATATTTGTATATATGAAATCTATATTTGTTTAATTTGAGCCAAACTAAAGCAATGTATAGGTGTACAATGAGAAATTTAAAGGCTTAGTTATTTTTCCCGACACAGTGTAAGATAACTCTGCCCCGATGGGGGGATTCACCAACTTTGGATGTTAACAGCTTTGCTCGCTTCCTGGCAAGGACGGGTACGTCCCCAATTTGTAAGGGAGCCCAGGGGTCGAAAGTTACCTTTAAATACATGTACAAATAGTTGTTGAAAGTAATGTTATTAAAATAGGTTTATTATCCCTGAGCGTGGCCTCTTCTTCATGTGTTGATAAGAAGCTTGTTGGGGACACGTGTCCATGCAGGTGCCCCTCAGGAGGACATCGGAGGTCACGGCTGGGCCAGGCTAACTCCTCAGTCTGTCTTCCACATCACCTGAGCTTTTCAAGCTCCGTGTTCTCACAAATAAGTACCAAATTAATCAGATGATTTCATTTCCATACACTAACCTCGGTCTTGTCAAATCCCAAAAGGAGGGCCAGAGTTGGCCCGCCTGACGTCCAATTAATTCTCCCCACGGAAGGCGGTGACGGGGGCTTGTTCTCGCTGTGGGGCAAAGCACACAGGTGGCCTCCACCTCCCCCTGGGACTGCGGGAAGACGTGGCTGTTCCTGAGCCACTGACATGGCTTGACTTGGTCAGAAACTAGGCTACAGCGGGATGGCAGCTGCCTGGGTCGTCGCCTCGATCAGAGCTGGCTTGCAGGTCACGCTGGGGACCAGACAGCGCAACCCTGCAGGGCAGGGACACACCTGCTCGGAGGGGGGCACTGGGACGAAGGAGAGCATTCAGGTTCCAGGCAGCCTCGTCCGGGTGTTGTGTCTTTGGAAAGGCTATTCCTGGAGTCCTGCCCACGGCCCAGTGTTCCCGGACATGGCTTGCCTCGGGCGTGCAGAGTGAGTAACTGGGCCGGAGCAGGCGTGGGCATGCCGTTTTTCCATGTGACTTCTTTAAAAAGCGGTTTGTACCAAGGTCCAGTTGTCCCCGTTCTTCCATCCAGCAGCCTCACGGCCTGCAGTCATGTCAGGACCGGCCGTAGCAGGCATCCAGCAGGGCCGTCCCCATGCAGGGGTCTCGGCTGAGGCCTGCGTGCACACCGCCCTGCGCCCCAGTGCCTCCCCGTTGAGCGGAGCCCTCTGCCTCCCACCAGGCCAGGAGCCCATTCCGTGCCACGCGAAGGATGCCGGCCTCCCGAGTCCCGGGTCCCTCCCGCGCCCTCACTGTGCCCTGACTTTCTTGCTCTGTGGGCTCTGAGGCTGCTCTGCAAGGGCCCGCTTGTGTGGGGACATCCCGTCCTCAGGGCGGGCCACCTGCTCCTGGGACAGCAGGGCCGCCCGCGCCAGCCGCACCTCCCGCTTCTCCCTGCGCTCCTCCATCTCCTCGATGTCACCGGCAAACAGGGCTTTTAGCGGCGCGGTCAGCTTGGGCACTGTCGGGAGGTCCCCGAAGCAGACCTGGAAGGCGAGTCCAGATTCAGGACGTGCGTCCGGGGGCCGGGCAGAAGTGAGATGGAGGGAGCCGCTGGGCAGAGGGCAGGCGCCAGCTCCCTCCTCGCCCACCTTTGTGGCAGCTGATCGTAGTGGACAACGAACGGGTGAGGCCAGGGGAGAGGGAGGAAGGCTTCTCAAGAAAGGGGCACTGACGCCCGACTCCTGGCTAAGGGGGTAGAACAGAATGGGCCTCCGGAAAGGAGAGGCAGTCCGGACTCTGAAAACCAGTGTCCTCGGAGGCGAAGCCCGGCTCCTGCCCTCATTCAGGGGGGCCAGAGGGGCGAGGCTGGCTCCCCCATCGGGAGTGGAGGACACGGTCTCCCCAGCAAGTGCTGTGGCACAAGTCACGTGGGTGGGGGAAGGGCCAGGCGCGAGCCCCCCAGTCACTTCCAGCGGGCCCTGCCGCCCCAGCGGCAGGGAGCGGGATGGCGGCGCTGGTGCAGACCCCTCTGACCCTTGGCCCCGAGTACCCCGGGCAGGGAGCGCAGCCTCTACCCCAGCCCCACCGGCGCGCGCGGCACAGACCTGCATGTGGTCAAAGGCGATCCCCACTTTCTCGCTGAAGTCGGGGCTGAAGAGGGGCACCTTGGCGTAGCGCTGGCTGAAGTGGTTCAGCATGGTGAACCCCGCGTTCATCCGCACCCCCACGCCAATCGCCTGGGACGTGGTGCTGCCAGCAGAGGGGCTGCGTGAGGCTGATGTCCAAGCGCAGGGCAGGCCCCGGCTCCCAGACCCCCCGTGTACCCTGGGAAGGCCATGTCTCCGGCCAACACAAACTCTCCTACGGACCAGAGTCTTCACTCACCCCCAGATGGAGCTGGACCGAGCACTGGCGGACCCCCGCCCGTCGGTGAGGGCAGCAGGGAAAGGCGGGCGGCTCCTCATGGCTGGGGTGTGGGGAGGGGAGGGCGGCACGACACACACTCATCCCAGCAAAGCCCAGATCCAGCCCGGGCAGTCCCCGGACGTGGCGACCGCTGGCGCCCGCGCACTGGGAGTCCTCTCAGAAACCCCCACGGCCTCGGTGGGAAGCAGGCCAGCTGGCCTCTTGTCACTGTCACCAGAGAGCACAGCGTGTCCCTGCAGGGCTGACGTGAGGCTGACCCGTGTGTCACCCGGGAGGGAACAGAGCAGGTCACTGCGGCTCAGGGCTCTCCCCTACCTGTGTGTCTTTTCCACGGCCTCCTCCTCCAGGCCGTCTTCCAGCGTGGCCTCATGTATCAGGAGGGTGGCGTCCTTCCCTAGGGAGTAACGAGTGCCGCCAGTGGAGCAGAGCCTGTGCCTGAGACACACTGCACGAGATGCCCCGGCCCCGTGTGCTCGCTGGGACGGCCTCGCGGTCTGCTGCCTCTACTCACCCATCTGGACCAAGGCCTCGCAGGGCATGGTGTCCCCGGAGTAGACCACTTTCCAGCCGGACGTGTGGACCAGCGCGCAGCCAAAAGCGTGCTTGCAGTGCCGCACCAGGCAGGTCTGAAACTGTAGTAGCGGGCGAGTGGCTGTGCAGTCGAGCCCCCGTCACCACCGCCCCCCCGCCCAACCGTGGGTGCACCCTTACCTCGGCCAGCTCACACGCCTCCAGCAGCGAACCCATCAGTCTTTCAACGGCGGGGCTAGAGACCTCCGCTCCTTTCTGAAGGCACTTGGCAGGAATCAGGCTGGGCGGACACAACAACGGTTCAACAGTGAACATGAAAGAGTTTTTTTAATGTGATTCCAAGTTCAAGCATCTGGCTGCAGAGCTCCAAACTCCTTATCATAAAGAAACACAAACCTGTCACTTAGAGGAAAGAGGAGTCAGTTAAAAAGAGCCAAACCAAGCCCTCCAGGCAGTGGCAAGGGACCTGGTGGGTGGGCACTGCCCGTGGTGGGGGTAGAGGGAGGCCCGCCCCACAGGCCGGTATAGACCTGGGCAAGCAGATAGACCACCCGGGATGGGAGGGGCCAGCTCTGTGCCGGGTACTGCTCAGGGACTTGGCCCCAGAGTATTTCGTGGACAATCTCAGGACCAGAACAGAATCGCAAAGAGGGCAGAGAAGACACCCATATGAAAGCAGGCACCGGCCACTGGTCTCCCTGACCCCCCGGAAAGGCGCCAGCAGGGGTTGGGGCGCCGTCGCTCACCTCACGTGCTGCAGCAGCTGCTGGCACTGGTTGTGGTACAGCTGGAGCCAGGCCTTGAGCTGGGTCGGGGCCACCACCAGCAGCGGGGGACACGGCTTCCCCAGGGATGCCTGAGACAAGGACACCGGAGCCGCTGAGTCCACAGCAGGGAAGGCTCCGGGTGACAGAGGGTGTGGCTGCAGACGTGCAAGCCACCAAACTCAAGTGTCAGGACGATCGAGGGCTACACTCACCAGAGCCCGTTCTCTCTGCAGCAGGATATTGAGCAAGCCCTGTGGGGGCGGGGAGGAAGGGGACACGGCGTGAGCCACGGTCAAAGTCAACTTTCCGCCCAACATCTGGGTTCTGGAGTCGTCCTCCCTCCCTATCGGCCACCATCCCCCAACGCTGCCGTGGGCAGTGTGACCAGGGTGGGGACCGGGGACCCAGCTAGCCCAGGGACAGCAGGCCTCCCGTCTCCAGCTGAGGTCCCCTCGGAGCAGGCCAGCCAAGGCCTCGCTGCTGCGGGACAGCGGGGCGTCTGGCGGGACAAGGAGGCTCCCCCAGCTGAGTGACAGCACTAGCCAGAGGAAAAGCCGGCACCCGGAGTAGCCCCTGCCGTCCTCTGGGGCCCCATCATCTGCTGTCGCTCACCGTGTGGTGATCCGCGTGCAGGTGAGACACAAACACAGCGGTGAGGGTGCTCAGGACCCTGTCCACCTCGTCTCCGTAGTGACGGCACAGCTGCCCAAACGTGCCTTCGCCACAGTCCAGGAGCAGCGACCTGTCAGGGCTGCGAACAAGAGCGACAGTCACGCTGCCAGGCAAGGCTTCGAGGTCTGGAGGGTTTGCATTTCAGCGAGAAGAGCAGGAAGCGGCAGAAGCCCTCGTGCTCATTCCGAGAAGCTTCTCTAAACACGAGGGCCGTTTTCCAGCATCCAAGCTCATTATACAAAAGCACTGATTAGCCTCGGAACCCTGAAACCCCTGAACGTATGCGGAGTCCCCAGAGCCACACAGTCTGGGGAATGGGAGGGCGAAAACCACAGCCCCAAGGATGCACCTCGGACTGTTTAAACGGAACGTGGCGACGCCCCTGTGGGTGCTCCCGGCATCGGGCACTGGGCGTGGACACGGGAGATCTGGCTGCTGTGCACCTGCTGCCCTCGTCAAACCCCCAGGGAGGACAGGCCGGGCCTGCCGAGCTGCTTCACTGCATGTCCTCAGCGGCGAGAGAAGTGTGTCCCAGAGGGGTGTTTCTGCTAGCAGGGCGCACTTCTAAGCGCTGTGTGCAACGGGTGCGTTAGCTGCTTGGTCGTCCTCCACCGCCAGGATCCAGGATGACAAAGCAAAATTTCAGAGCCAGCCTGCACTTCCTGCAGACGTGAACACGGCTGGGGACCCGGGCTGACCTCTCTGGGGGCAAGGACACCAGGAAACCCAAGAGAATCCCTCAAAATCCACCGGCAGTTGGGGGGCTGATCATGAGACCAACGCACACACCCCGCAGCTGTCCCCCCCACACGGGCGGTCACCAGTTAGGGCACAGCCCAGCCAGCGGTGTAGACACCAACTCACGCTCCGGGCCCGCCCCTGACCAGCTGTGGGAACTAGTAATCTCTTGGGACGTTAGTCTAGCGATCAAGGAAATGGGTTAATCACGATCTCCTAGGCCTACTATGAAAATTCAGTGACATCATTTCTTAGCAAGGTGCACGGCCCACGGCAGAGCTGGCTGTTTTTGTCGACAGACAGAACAGGGAACGAAGTCAGGATTTCCAGGAACTCTCAAAGGCATTAACACCCACTACTCCCCTTCTGGGCGCTCCGGCCAAGGTGACAAGGGTACACGCTTTCACACAGCTGCGTCTTCAAACTGGCCCCAGGCTGGGGGTGGGGGGAGCTCGTGTGCCCCCGTGTGTGGAGGCTTCTGGGACAGCAGCAGTACCTTATGTTCACAAGTGTGGCACTGACGTTTCGGATCTTCATCGGGATGGCGGAGCCCGTCCCAAGGAAGACGATTTCTGGATACTGGGTTCTCTTCTCTGTGGAAAACACACGGTAGAAGGGTCCATTACCCAAAGGGACAGCATTCATGAGAGGGGTAGGGCCTGCCTCCCAGGAGGGGCCATGGGTCCCACCTGGCAGGGGTCCCTCTGTAGGGACCTCCTTGAAGGCAGGGCCCCGGGCTGCAAGGCACAGCAAATAAACCCCACAGCCTTTCTTTCCGGAGACCTTCTCTAGATCTTTCACAGCACAAAGGGCACTTCTTCAGGCTACAAATCATTTAGCTCAAGGGGCTGATGTCTGCCTGGCGTCCAGCCCTTACCACCAGACCTATTCCTCCTGCAGGTGCCATAACCACCTTGCTGGGAGGAACCCCAGGCTTACAGGGGAGCAAACAGGATCAGAGGGTCAGCCCACCAGAGGGGAAGAGGCAGAGCCAGGACCAGAGTCCAGGGAGACCTGATGTGCCCCTTCCACGAGAGGGGAGGCTCTACACCAGCCCAGGCAGACCCTCCAGCTGCATTCACGCTCCCCACTTTCTAGTCCGGCGTTCTTGGCTTCTAGCACTAGTTGAAAAGCCAACTACTGGGGCAGCAGTCCTGAAACTACCCACAACGGCTTTTCCTGATGCGGTGACGAAGGCCCAGCAAGGTGAGGGACGTGGCCTGGTCTGCCGTGGCTCCCCATTAGCCAGGGCAGGACCAGATCCCGCGTTGGCGGAGGCCGGGTCCAAAGTTCTTTGCAGGGTCTTGCAGGAGCGCCCAGAACCATGGCCCATGGTGCGTACCACAAGAGCTGGGAGCTGTCACCGAATGCTCAGGTTGAACTGGTCTTGGTGGGAAGGGCAGGCGAGCAGGCGTGGGCACGGGTGTGTTTAGAGAATAAAGCCGCGCTGGGTCATGGAACTAGACCTGGTTAGACGGTGCCAGGCTGTGGTTCTCCCGAGTGCTCCAAAAACACCTGCGGGAGTGCAGCGGCCCACAGAGGAAGGCGGCTCTGGGGTCTTCCACTCACCTGCTGGGTCTGGGCTGGCCTGTGCGGCCTTGCGGTACTCCTGCACGCTTTCCTGGAAGTTGGGGAGCTCCAGGGCCTCAGCAATGAATTCACTGGGATTGCAGACAACAACAGCATCCCTGCAGGGAGGACAGCATCTTAGTGACCACAGCAAGCACGTGGCCTCAAGCACATACCCATCTGGATATCCAGAACCAACTTATGGACACAATCTGCAGAAAGTTCTCCAAATCAAGACGGAAAACGAAGCAAGCCTGGGCCAGTCCTATTCTCCTACTGTGCGGAACCTTTCTCAGGGAAGCGGGGCTCTCGGAGCCCGATCCGAACAGCTTTGGCCCCTCAGGACATCTCAGCTCAGAATCTGACGATCCTGGCAATACTGACATCCAGCGGGGTCCTGACCTCTGCCCACCAGATGCCACCAGCACCTGCACCCCCTGCCGGACTATAACAATGACAAATGTCTCCAGACGTGGCCTGATGTCCCCTGGGAGCCCAAGGAAGGGACAGGAGGAGGGTCAAACGGTCCTAGCTGACCAGCCTGGCCCGAGAGCAGCGGCTCCCACACAAGCATGGGCACAGCTTGTCCCAAGAACCCTGTGGAATGCAGGCCCTGATCTGGCACCATGGGCTGCAGCCCGGGGCTGTCTCCAGCAAGGCCCTGATGCTCGCAGGGTCCGGGCACACGGGGAGGCCGGCTGTGGATCAGCAGCTCTCCACCCTGACGGGGCCCTACGCTCCCCCCCCCGAGCTCATGCAGCAAGGCCCAGCGAGCTCCCCAGAGTAGCGCATGAGGCCTGGAATGCACGTTCCCAGGTAAAGGAGGATCTGGGCATCGTGCCAGACTCATCAGTCAAGGTGTGTGAACCACCTGTGCAGACGTGGACAGCAGGCTCCGCAGTCCCAAGCCTGCACCTGGGGGTCCCCTTGTCATGCAACCTGTTCCAGACGCACACTGGACACATGACCCACAAGGGGATTACTGGCCCGACCTGGGGGCAGAGGCCTCAGAATGGGTCACACTGCAACCCGGCAGTGCCACATCTGAGAATCGCTCTAGGGGACAGAGTTCCACTGAGACACACTCGAAGTATTTCCCACTTCATTAACACAACAACCTAGAAACATCTGAAATGAGCAAACATCCCCCTGTGGGGCACCCAGAAAAGCCTCGCTCCTGAAGGCTACATAACGAGTCATGACTCAGGAAAAGACGGGCCTGTCAGGCCAGGCCACAGACCCACACGGACACTTTCAAAAAGATTATTCCCCACATGGTCCGATTCAAAAAACAAAACGTTAACGATCATTATCTCCTGTCTTGGAGGACAGGATCCCCGGATCACAGTTGCCTAATCTTCTCCATCAAATGCTTTGTTCTTTGTTGTCAAACAATGGATCCCCTGCACAGTTTTCATGAGGGAAAACACCTTTAGGAAAGAGAATCCTCTTCCCACCTCAACCCCGACCAGAGCAGCGTCCGGCGGAGACGACCCTGCTGGGGAACTCCCTGGACCCGAGGCCCCGTCCGTCCGCCATGGCAGGGGCAGAGTTCAACACCTGGGACACACACCGCCGGGCCCTTCCGGAGAAGAGCTGGGCACCCCCGGTCTAGACCTTTCCATCTGCTCGGAGTCGCACAGACCTCTGCCACTCCCTCCGCGGACGGAGCTGGTACTTGAGGAGACATTCGCCCCGGACTGTGGGCACAGGGAGGGCGGCGTGTTCCTCCTGGAAGACACAGATGCGCTCGGTGGAGAGAAGGAGAAGGAGAAGACAAGTCGCCAGGCCAGGGGACCGCAGGGGACACTACCTGGCGCTGGGGGGTGGCGAGCGGGGGGAAGATGGCGGGGTGGATGAGGCTCAGCTGCGTCTGGATCTTGTGGCTGCGGAGATTGTGGACGGACGGGCAGCTCTCGTTCAGGACCAGGTGCTGGGTGGCGGGCCCAAACCTACGGCAAAGACAGGGTGTTCGCGGTGCCCTTTACAGCGGACGCCCACCAAAGGGGTGGCAGCGGTACCAGGGGCCAAGAAGGTGGAGGGAAGGGGCCGGAGAGTAAGTGCGGGTTCAGAATCACCAGCCACGGGCGCCTGGGTGGCTCAGTGGGTTAAGCCCACTGCCTTCGGCTCAGGTCATGATCTCAGGGTTCTGGGATCGAGTCCCGCATCGGGTTCTCTGCTCGGCAGGGAGCCTGCTTCTCTCTCTCTCTCTCTCTCTCTGCCTGCCTCTCTGTCTACTTGTGATCTCTCTCTGTCAAATAAATAAATAAAGTCTTTAAAAAAAAAAAAAAAAAAAAGAATCACCGGCCACTCCGTCCCTCTGCCTCCAAGTCCAGGGCCGGGATTCAGACACCCCGGCGGGTGCTGCCCGGAGCCCCAGGTGAACCCGGAGGCTGACAGGTCGGGGCCTCCAGCCAGGCACTGGGACCAAAGTGGAGTAGCAGTACAGGGAGGGAGAAGCAGAGGCATCCTAAGGCTCCTTAAGACTCGAGCCTGCGGCGACCACGGGGGACCACGGGTGCGCCTGGGAGGAGCAGGCGGGAGGCGGAACAGCAGCCTCGCCGGGGCTCCCAGTGCAGCTCGAACACTCCCACCTGGACCTGGTGCCGAGCTTGGCTCGAGGGACCCCGGGATAAAGGCAGGGTGACCTCTTCTCCACTGGACACTGGTACAGCTCTGCCTCGCAGGGTGGGGGGAAGAGGGGAGGAAACGGAATGAGCTGCAGAGTCGTCGACACCCTGCCTTCACCCTGGAAACTGAGGGCGTCACTCTGTATTTTAGGACCCGGCTGCGGAGCGGGGAGGGCGGAGGCTGGACACCAGCAGCAAGTGCGCGCGCACGGCGCCCCCTAGCGGCAGCTCAGAGCTACAGGCGGCCGCTCCCCAAGCTCGGGGAGGGCAGGGAGCCCGGGCAGGAAGGGGACAGAGGGGAGGACAGGGGGAAATGCGTCCTACCTCTCCATCCACTGCTGATATCTGGGGTCCTCAAGCACACACTGTGGGGCCATGTGAACCACCAGCGCCACAGGGGCGTCGGCATGGCCTTGGTACCTGGGCAGAAGGGAGGAGGAGCGCAGTTGGGCTCTGCACAGAGATGTGCACTCAGAACCTTCCCAAACGGTGACCGTGCGGCCAGGGCAGGGCACCGCACAGTCTGCTCTCAGGGCCTTCAGTGACCCCGGCCTCCATGCCCAGGCCAGGCTGTGCCCGGGTTGCTCCCATAGTGTCTGAGCCCGCCAGGGGCTTCTCTAGTCCTCAGGCTCTGGGGCTGCTCCTGGGCCTTCCCAGTGCGAGCTCTGCTTTCACTTTCACAGGACCCTCCCCCATGAATTGTGGGCACCTGCAGTCGCACCTGGCCATCTGCCTTCCAGCAGACCCGAGCCACGGGCACAGAGAGTTAAAATCGTCTGTAATTCCCCCGTCTAGAGTCGTCACTTACTAACACTGAGGTGTTTCCTTCCAGCTCCCATTAAAAAAAAGCACATGCAGTACTTCCTACCTACCCCTCCGCACACGCACCCGCACAGACCCAGGTGTCTCCGGGTCGTGCAGGTAAACCTGGCAGCGACGCGTCAACGCACACGCCCCTCAGCTCACAGCCACTCCACGCGGCTTTGCTGCCCGTGACCTGATGGCAGCACGAAGCCAGTGCCACCACAGGACCCGGATTCACCCAGAAAGAACAAAGTCCATCTCAGGAAGACCTTCCAATGAGAATTTAAAACATCATGGCTGCCCAAAAAAGATCTGCTATGCTAAGCGGAATAAAGCACTATATGCAAATCATAAATATGAACTAGGAACCGGAGAAACACAGGGAGAATAAACCACTGAGAATGGGAAAGAAATGGAAACACCAACATGGGGGGCAAAGCTACCTGGGATGGAAGCTGAGCTGCCAAGGGGTCCGCCGTCTTGGGCGACGGGAGAGCAAATGAAGGTTGTGCCCGGACGGAGAGTCCGTCCCTTAACGGGGACCTTCGACCAAGATGGTCTCATAACCTTCAGACCCACCCACACAGGTTCAATACAGGCAAGTGAAGAAAACGTACTTAGGTAAAAATAACCCCAATAACAACTGGGGTATTAATTAGAACTGAAGAAAGTGCTAGAGTGTGTCCTAGACTTAGCACTCTAGCTGGCCACTGGTTTTCTAGTCTGCACGTCTCTGGCTTTCAATCTTTTCTAATTTCACTACCAAGGCTGTGCGCACAAAGCCCACCAGGCAGGAGCCTGGAACTCAACGCGTGGACTTCCGCGGCCATGGCTCGGTGCCAGGAGCAGCCGCGGGTCAGGCAGACCCCCTGACACCCTGTTGATGCCGGCCGGGCTCCCCCCACCCCCAGAGCCCTCATTACCTCTTGAAGGTGGCGTTCTCACAGATGGGTTGAACGAATCCTTCATCCGGACATTCTACCACAACAAAAGCAAGACCAGGATCTGGAGGAGTACAGATCTCTTCGGGCAGAATCTGTGAAATCGCTGGGGTCACAGCTCTCTCCCAGGGCAGAGTCGCAGCTCCGCAAACACACCGAATGGCCTTCAAGTCAACGCCTCCCCCCTTACATACTCCCTCCCCTGTCCCCGAACAGCGCAAAACCAATTGGGAATCACCACCCATGCCTTCCCCGTGCTCCGCTTCTGTATGCCAGGCAGTGGCTCACAGAGGGCGTCTCAAACCCAGGGTGGCCACGAAACCAGGCAGGACATGCAAGGTGCCCTCAGATCTGTGGCCATTGGTCTGGACATCTTAGACGCCGGAGAAAACATCCTGGCTAAGAACATGGTGGCATTCCCTGGGGCCGGGGGCCTAAAGTCCATCCTCAAGGGTCTGCTGCTAGGCAATGCCCGGACCTCCAGGACAGGGGACAGCACCCATCCGTTGGGAGGAGGACCCTCAAATTCTAAGTAGGTGCTCTGCAGACACGCCCAAAGGTAGCCAGCGTGGCCAAGCAGGACAAGTCCAGATAAGAGACCCTGTTGTACTGGTCAGCCCAGTGAGGAAATCCGAGCTGTCCCGCTTCCCTCAAACGTGAGGTCTGGACCCATATTCCAGGCCCCAGCCATCACTGCCTAAACATCATGAAAACGGGGCGTCTCACCTCTCTGCCCTCGTAAGTGATGCTCTTCCCATCCTTGACAGCAGCAATGATGGGAGCGATGGCAGCTGTCCCACTGAAAGAAGGGGCAAGCTGCCCGTGAGACAGGATGCAGCAGGGACACGGATGCCCCCCCAAACCCTGACCTCCAGGCCCAACAGCACGCATCCCCCGCCAACACTCACACTGGCAGGCCCAGCTCCTTGGCTTTGAGCACCAGGAAGTTTCCCTTCTTCACGTGAAGCTGTGACAAAGAGAACATAAACACCATCTCAGTCAGGGTTGGGGGGGCGGAGGGGGAAGAAGCCGGGCTTCCATCAGCCTCCGTCCAAGCGCACCTCTCTGGTTTCACTCTCTCAGGCCACCGCACAGTTCCTCAAAATGCAGCCCGGGTACAGCTCTGAGAGGAAGCACGCTACCTTCCATGCTACCTTCCGAAGAAGCCAGCTATTCTGAAATACTTTAGGACTAGAAGCTCAGTGATTTAAAACATGGCACGTTAGGGCCCCACGTGAACTTGTTAGGGATGTAATAGAACACGATCCATTTCCAAATCAAATGAAAAGGTTCCTTCGCATCCCTGGGGACCAACACCTCTGTCCCACCATCTTGCACACAGCGTGTAGGAGGTAACAGAACGCGACCAGCACTCGGTCTGACAGCCCTGACCATGCAGTGATGGGGACAGGGTAACAAAAGCATGGACGGTCTTTCACTGGTGGTTTTCACAACCTGCCATATGGCGATGCTTTTACCCTGGAGAAAAGCTGTAATGAAAGATCCCGGATACGCTCTAATATGTCAGAACGGCAGACAACAATCCTCCCACAAACCTCAGGACCGTCATCCCGTCCTTGAAAATTGTGTATTTTCGGGATCTACTAATTTCATATGTAACAACAACAACAACAACAAAATCAGAAAGCACATAAAATATCAGTAAGTCTTTGAGTGCTAAATTATATTTGATTTTCATTTTCTTCCTTAGATCTTTAAAAGGAAATTACTCTTAAGGCAAAGTCTCCGATTTGGATCCTCAGGCCTTACCAGGGTTCTAGAATTTTCTGGCTTGGCAAATGCTATCCTAGAGGAGGGATTACAGCTCAAGTGTGTGTGTATAAGGCACAGACGATGAGCTCCAATGACACCTTTAGATGATGTCGTTGGCCGGGCCTGCTGTGACCAAATATTCCCTCCACAGACCCAAATGGGTTTCAGGATGGAAACCAAGTGCTCTAATGTTTCACAGGGACTTGCAGACCTAAGGTGGGCAAAACCCTCCCTCCCCAATAAACTGAGTTCAACCCACGAGAAACTGTCCCCACCCAAGGGTGCGGGGCATGTGGAACACAGAGGAGAAGCAGAACGCAGCCCCCGAGGCCCCGAGCTGGCAGGCAGCCATCTGAGGCCCATGGTCTCCTAACGGGATAGTCTGTGTCTCAGGCCCTCACACGCTGGGTCTCTTTTCGCTGACCCCCCAGAGCTCGGACTAGGTCAGCTTAACTGCCTCCAAACCCTCCGCTGAGCAGTAGCACACTAACTAGAAGAGGGACGAGGGCCCACAGGCCGACCCATGAGAGCAGCGCTCAGAAGTCACAGCGAATGACCCAGGAGGGACAAAAGGGTCTTGGGAACAGTGGCTGAGGACAGCCAGGGCTTACAGGGGCACGCGGCCTGGCACCCAGAGCTCTACTGAGGAAGGCGGGAGGGACCTAATACAATTACAGATGACCAGAGAAACCTACTTGGAAAATCACTTTGCTGCCTAAAAACTCAGAAACGTACATGGAACAAGCCCATAGACGATGTCCTTCACTTTCATAAAAATGACCACTGAAATACGGTGACAGACGAGATAATGATCTTGCAGCTAATAACGATTACTGCTGACCTTCAGGAAGGGCTTTCCCCGGTGGGTGTGATCATCTCTTAAGAACTGCAAATATATTTTAAAGTCAACATTACTCCTCAAAAAAATCATCACCGCCCACAAAATGACAACGTAGAGCCTCGTTGCAGATAATCCTATTTTAGCGCAAAGCCCTGTTAAAACCAGGCCCTTGGTCCAATTTTTCCAACACCCTACAGTAAGAGAATTTCCATAGAACTGGACCGACTTCAGATGTGCGGACCCAGGGAATGCTGGTCAACATGAAAACGAGTCTGATGCCACTAGCTGAACAGCTACGGTAAAAGGACAGAAAGTAAAACAGAGTTCGAGGAATGTGAATGAAAGCCCTGAAGGCAAACGAGGCCGCCCCCATTTCTCAAGTGCAAGGTGGCCCACTGTGGGCAAATGTAACCCAGGGGACTTTGGAGCCACTGGCTCTGAAATCGCTGGACGGGAGCTAACAGAGGGTCCCCATCACAAGCTCGCTGAAAGCCCACCGGACAGGCACCTGCTTACCTTACAGATGAAAGCTACAACCAAGGAGGGGTCCCTGCCGCTCTTTTTCTGGCCAATACCTGAAGAAAAACAAGTTGGATTGTAACAAGGCAAACAAGAAGATTTACGGGCTTCACAGACCAACGATAATCAGGTCTAATTCGGTGCCAAATTAAATGGACATGACAGCTCCGTATAAAGGTCAGAGGAAACACTGGTGTTCTTTCCCCAGCCGACCTGTTCTTTTTCCTACTCACACCTGAGGTCGGAGTGAATAGAAAACGCAAATCACCAGTGGGAAAAGCTTTAGAACGGGCTAGTGAAATGCTTTAAAACATGACACACTTTACCCACATAGTCAGGAGAGAGAATAAGTTGCAATGTGCTTTATAAACAAGCATATGTGAAACACCAGGAGAGCCAACGGGCCTGCAGAGAAAACGCAGATGTGGGCCCTCAGCTGGGCCATCCCAGGGAGGACAGCTCCCGGGGTCAGCCCCTTCCTGGCCAGACAGACAGACACGATCCAGGCAGGAGCAGGAACACATCAGCCTTGCCCGACACGGGACCGCAGTCCCCTAAAGGGGTCCCAGTCCTCCCACACATCTAAGCTTGGCATTAAACTCCGTTTCTCAGCAGGCTGTCCTTCTGGAAGAAAAGAGTCCGGTCTGCTCACAGACCTGAGTGGTCGGCTCAGCAGTTTTCTGCATTCATGAAAAATTCCTTTGTGTTAAAGAAAAAACACGAAAGCCTCTATATGAACTGATCTCCCAGGCCCTGCTCTCCTTTGGGGAAACCGAATAGGAAGTCTGGGGCCCAGACAGTGCTGGGGGTCGGCCCCGGGGCTCTGTACTGCCGCCCCCACGGCAACCCTCCCCATTGTCCCCACGGGCCAAGTCCCACAGCACGCCGAGGCGGCGGACGTGTCTGATACGGGCCTCATGGGATAACAATGCCAACGCGGGGCATGAAGGGCAGCGATGAAGAAAACCATGCTCTGGACAGGGGCACTGTTCTGTGGAAACAGCGTTACCATCTGGAAGGTGCTGCTCGTTTTCAGCGGATCCGGAATCCAAAGACCGTCCTGGACTGAGTCGCTCTGGGCTCGGTGATGCCTGGCGCCCTCCACACTTCTGCTCACCTGGCAGGCAGGGGAGAGAGTCAAACCCCACGCCCTGGGGGTGAGCTCCCAGCCGAGCCCCACTGTTCCCCCACCAAGGCAGCCTCCGCCTGAACCACACCTCCCCTCCCCCTTCGACCCCTCCACCACAGGCACCCTGCAGGCTTTGTCTCCTGGCCAGCCCGACTCCTCTGCCCCTGCCCCTCATTGGGGGGCTCTCATCTGTGTCCCCTCAGCACTTGGCAGGGATCAGACTAGTGTCAAGGAAATGTCCCCAAGGTCCTCTGTTCTCCTCACAACTGGTAAAACCTGGTGTGCAGTGTGACTGGCCAGACTCCCGGGCAACACGGACATGGCAGGGTCTCTGTGTCCCTAAGTTAAAACCACACCACCCGCCCTGGGGCCTGCGAAGGTTCCTGGGACCCTGTGACCTGCTCGCAACACTTCTATCAGCATTAGTATTCACAGAAAAGGTTACCATGCAAGCCTCTCAGCATCCTCTCCCCAGAGGGATACTTATATCTGTGGCAAGTAAGCCCCAAAAAATAAATGAGCACTTCTGAGAACCACCCGCTTTCTGATGCTGTCTGATTAGGACATCCTAAGTGTAACCACGATCGTTACACCTAGGAGCTGAACAGGTCTCTCTGTAAGATCCTAAGCTCCCTGAAGGCAGGAACCATGTCTTAATTCCTCAGCTAAATTTCCTAATCATATTCAGAAACACAAAACTGGGTACGCAGAGCCAATCAATATTCCAGCAGTTTCTAGCTTTACCCCACGTTGTCCTGGCCTGGGACCTGCATCCCTCCCTCCTGCTGGGAAATGGGACTCACGCACTCACTGTATATGGGAACCTGGAAGACGGTCATGGTCTCATCCTTATATTCTGGTGCCGAGTGGGGCCGCACAGCTGCGCGAGAAAGACCAAGGACAGTGACTGCGCTGGGGGAAAATGGGCTTTCCAGATCATCGGCCACAAGCAACTGATTTATCCCGGAATGTTGCTGAGAATCTACACTGAACCCAGAATCTCTGAATAAATGACCATTTTTAGGCAAGAAGCACCCATGTATTTTCACTCCCAGCGCAGCCGCAACAGTCTCACTGAGAACCATCTCTAACCTGTATCTGGGGGCATGACGTGGGGTCACAGAAATTACAACAGGCATTATTTTCAAAATTCATCTCACTGATGAAACACTTGGTTTTAAGGTTTAATTTAGTCCAAGCTTTATGGATTCTAGTTTGGGAGACTGGGGTATGCAGAAGAAAGAAATGGCAGATGAGGAGTCACACTCGGGAACATACCCAGGTCTATTCCTTTCAATGGACCAGAAAATATCTTGATAGCTTCTAGGTATTTTTCCTATAAAAGACAAAGGAAGAAGCAGTGACGGTTGTTGTATAAAGGCAGAACAGCAGCACAAGAGAATTATTAAGACGCATCAACATAGGGGCACCTGGGTGCCTCAGTCGGTTGCGGGTCTGACTCGTGATTTTAGCTCAGGTCATGATCTAAGGGTCGTAAGATCGAGCCCTGCGATGGGGTCTCTGCTCAGCAGGAAGTCGGCTTGAGATTATCTCCCTCTCTCTGCCCCTCCCCCCACTCACCCACACATGAGCACTCTCTCTAAATAAGTAAAATCTTTGAAACTACTCACCAAGAAAAAAAAAAAAAAATCAGTATTTTATTGTACTCTCTTTTTTAAAAAGTTAGTAGATGGGGCACCTGGGTGGCTCAGTTGGTTAAGTGTCTGTCTTGGGCTCAGGTCATGATCCCAGGGTCCTGAGATCGAGCCCCTTGTCCAGCGTCCAGCTTCTTGCTCATCAGGGAGCCTGCTCCTCCCTCTGCCTCTGCCCCTCCCCCTGCTCATGCTCTCTCTCTCTCTCTCTCCAATATATAAAATCTTTAAAAAAAGCTTAAAAAATTTAGTTTTTATTTTTTTAATTTAGTTTATTTTGCCCCCCCATCAGCTTTACTGAAATGTAATTGACACATAATATTGTGTAAGTTTAAGCTGCACAAGATGATTTAAGTCTACATTACAACATGACTACCACCCTGTGGCTAACATCCATCACCTCACACTTATAAATAAATCTTTAAAAAAAGGAGGCATCAACATGAACTTTAGTACCCTGAACCGCCTTTACACAAATATTTACTGAGTGTCCACTATATGTCAGGTGCCTAGGGTTTAGCAGTGAGCAGGGGACGAGGTCACTGCCCTGGTGCAACTTAAAAATGCAGCAGCGACGGAACTGGAATGAAAAAGCATGGACAACCAGGTAACAGCAGTCACGCTTAGGACCTGCAAGAAGCTGGAGACACAGGGGCCGGGGTGTCCCCTGTGTGGGAAGTCAGGCAGGATCCTGACTGCACAGCCTTTCGGCAGAGCCCCAAAGGCTCAGAAAGAAAGCCCTGGAACGGGAAGGGGCTTCAGGGGAGAGCCGAGAGCAGCCCACAGAGCACCAGCAGGGAGACTGGAGACAGATGCCAAGGGCAGGCAAGGGCCACGGCCCAGAAGGCTAGCAGGCCCGATAATGGGTGTTTGTGCTGCATTGCAGAGAAGCCCGGAGGGTTCTGTGTGTGACGTGCCTACTTGTATGCCCCCAAAGAGACCCCTCTGGCCACTGTGGGGGGATATGCAGCTGTCACAGTAGACGGGACAGGAGACAACAGATATGGGAGGCTTTAGGGAGGAGACAAATGAGTAGATTTGAGGTACTGTTTTGAAGACAGAATTAATAGGACTTGGTGACTGGTACCTTTTTTTTTTTTTTTTCTTTTTAAGATATTAGTTATTTAAGGGGCGCTTGGATGGCTCAATGGGTTAAAGCCTCTGCCTTCAACTCAGGTCATGATCCCAGGGTCCTGGGATCGAGCCCCGCATCGGGCTCTCTGCTTAGTGGGGAGCTTGTTTCCCCTCACCCCTCTGCCTGCCTCTCTGCCTACTTGTAATCTCTCTCTGTCAAATAAATAAATAAAAACTTAAAAAAAAAGATATTATTTATTTAAGAGAGAGATATTGCGTGAAGCAGGCTCCCCGCTGAGCGGGACTCAATCCCAGGACCCCAAGATCATGACCTATGCCAAAGACAGATGCTTAACGGACTGAGCCACCCAGGCGCCCCACCTTTCATCTTAGGAATTGGGAAATGAATTGTCAGCCAGCAGTGTTAATTAACAAGGTGCACAACAGCTTCTCAACAATGTTCAGAAGCTAGTCTGAAAGGTATAAAGAGGTCTAAAATTTAATAAAAATAAATGCTAACATTCCCTGTGGGCCTCCTTGGTGCCCAACGCATAGTAAGTTGGCTTGGTGTTTCGTATGTGTATTTCATGTAATCCTTAGCAACCTTATGGAACTCACAGCCATCTCACAGATGAGTAGCCTTAGGTAGCTCTAAGGAACTTGTGCAAGGTCACACACTTAATTCTGCTTTGGACTCAGGTGTCTAACTTGAAAGGCCCCCCACCCCACCAGCTAACTCTGGAGAGCCAAAGACAAATCTGCAGAGACAAATGCTTGTCACTAACATGAAAAAAGGAGGGGTCGGCTCTGAACGCTGAGTCAGGAGCGACTCACCAGTTGTGGAGGTCCAGAAAGCACACACTTCGGGAGGCCGGTTTCCTTTAAGGTAAGAATCATTCCTGGAAAGGGAAAGAGCCATCAGCTGTGTCATCACGGTGCCCTGCAGCTGCCACCAGGAGGCCCGCTCCTTACTTAAGCAGCTCCGTATCTACTTGTCCTCATCATGGGCCCTGGGCAGAAGGGACTCCTGCTGGAGGTGCAGGGGACATCAGATATTCCTCAGATGTCTCCAGAATGGGCAGGGCTGAGGCTGGGGCGAGGCAGTGAGGCACCCAGGACGCCCTTGGGTTCTGCAGCCTAGGCCCCTCACTGCCTTGCCCTGCAGGGTCTCAGGTCTGAGAACAGGATGGGCTCAGCGTTGCACTCCTTCCTATCCACGTCACAAAGTTTACGGACTTTGGCAGTGGCACAACCTTGACCTCTCTCTCTGGTGGGCATGAATAATGCGGCAATCCAGAGAGTGGGTATCTGTGTGGGGCTGCTGAGTCTCAGTGGTAAACGCGCGTCCTTTAACCATGACCCACTACAACCTCCAGTTCACTGGCCCGTATCTCCAGTCCAGCAACTCAATAAACTGAGTAGATGACAATGCTTGGAAGCAGCATTTGCATTCAAATCTGTCGTTTTGAGTCACAGCTTTCCAAGCTGCAGCTGACAGGGCAAGTACAGAAAAAAATTCCAGCTCCCCTGGACTTGGAAGATCGAGGAGGGGTTAAAGAGAGCAACAAGAAGACAGGCTCAATGCCAGAGACTTCCCTCCAGCCTCTGACCTCGGAAAGAATATACTTACCACACAACCCCCCCACGTTAGACCAGTGCATCCGGGTCAGGAATATATTATCCAAACGAGCCACCTTCAACCTAAGAAGGACATGAACGTTTGAACAGGTCAGACCAGGTGGATCAGGGACCCTCTCTTCTGCTTCAAAAACACTCCGGTCTCTCACCTGGGCTTTGAAGCCCCATGAGCATCTCCGCCCCAAAAGAAAATGGTTGACTCACTTGTGCTCCTGCATGAGCCTCTGCACGCCTTCTCCACAGTTGAAGAGGTACCTGCAAGACCAACACCACGCAAGATACTCAGACGGGACTCTGGAGGGTTTGGGCCACGGGTTTGGATGTTTTACTGAACACTACAGAAAACGGGAAAAAAAGCCCCAAAACCCCATGTGGTGCTACTACCGGACTGCATTACTGGCGTGAGGACACTGGTGGGGAACCCTCCCGGACGGAGGCCAGCAGGGGACTGGGTCCTTTCCCCCGTCACCTGACCTGCTACTCCACACGCCAGCCATGAGGTCCCGGTGTTGGGGCGCACGGCTCAACGTGTGCCAAGTGGGCCTCGGCGCCCCAGGCTGGAGAGAGGGCGCTGGGGCTCCCGGGAACCCCACGGGCGTGGGATGTAAGACCCCGGGGAGCTCCCAGCTCCTCCCCGAGGGTCCACCGTGGGCTGCAGCAGCGGAATCCCTCACGGGTGACGCGTGGGGGACCCCGGCGCGCAGCACGCGGGGCGGGCGCAGCGCACTGACCGGTTGTACTCGGAAAACACGTAGAGCGCCGCGCCCACGTCCCGGCCGCCGGCCGCCACCACCTGCAGGTACACGGTGTTCGGTCCCCCGGGCTCCCACGCCGCGCCGCGCTTCTCCCGCGTGCGCAGGTGCCGCAGCGGGTCCTTGGGCGGCCGCTGGCGGCGGGCGGGTCCCTGCGACATGGCGCGCCCGGCCGCGGAGCGCAACAGCAGTACGGAGCGGAGAGCCCACATGCACCAGCCTCCTTCCTAACGCTGCCGGTCACCGGGTTCCGCGTGCCCCACGCCCCGCCCCTCCGCCCCGCGTGGCGGGCCCAGCCAATCAGCGCGCCGCGAGCCCAGCTACCCGACTACGCGAGGCCGCGCGTCCAATAGTGAGGAGCCTTGCCCCTCGCGGCCTGTCAATTGGCGACGACCATAGAAGAGGCGCGGGCTAGAGTGCCCCTGACGGCCCCGCCCCTTGCTTCCTTCCGGCTTCCAAGGCGTCGATTCTTTCCGGAAACTCCTCTTCTCCTGGGGCGGGACTTCCGGGAGGGTCGCGAGCGGTGGGGAAGGGGGGCCTGCGCTGGAGCCCTGTCTCCGCCGATCGTGTCCCGCTGGCCGAGTCAACCCTTGGAGGGTTGGTTTGTTCTTACAGTAGCAGTAACGAAAGGGAAGTAACAGGCTTCAAGTCACGCAAAATATATTGAAACGACCTACAGCGGCTGAAGAGATGCTGGGGGCGGGGGGGGGGGGGGGGGGGGGGGCGTCGCTGGGCTGATGTCCCAGGACAAGCCCTTTGCAGAGCGGAAGAGGACTTCCTGTCCCCTCACACAGCTGATGAGGATTTCTTGCCGAGCCGGAGCTCAGTTAAAGCTTCTCGAGCTCCGAGGAGCAGCGTGAAATGGGGAGGGTGGTTCACCTGCAGGCTCCCCCCCGCAAATCAGAACTGGCGCGGGAAGGTCAGCGCACAGCTGCAGCCCTGCATCCTGTGTTTGGAGTCGCCCGCCGGCGAGGGTCGGGAAAATACTGTCGCCTGTAAAGGGCTTAAGCCGAGAAAGGACTGTGGCACTGCCACCCCCACAAGTATTCAAAACAGAAACAACAGGGGTGACTTGGTTGGTGAAGGGTCTGCCTTGGGCTCAAATCCTGATCCTGGGGTCCATGGGATGGAGCCCACAGCAGGCTCCCTGCTCAGAGGGAAGCCTGCTTCTCCCTCTCCTGATGCTGCTTTCCCCACCCCCACCCCCGCTCGTGCTCGCTTGCTGTGTCAACTAAATGAAATCTTGAAATAAAGGCAATACCTGTTCTGCCAAATGAAAAGGCAACCTATAGAATGAGAGAAAAGATTTTCAAACCATGTGTCTGATAAAGGATTAATACACAAACTCTGTAAGAACTATGGCTCAACCCCCCCCCCAAAAAAATTCCAATTTAAATATGGGCAAAGGGATACACATTTTCCTTCTGAGGAAGACCTACAAATAGCCAACAAGTGCATGAAAAGGTGCTGAAGAGCACTAATCAGGAAAACGCAGATGGAACCCACAAGATACCACCTCACACCTGTTAGAATGGTTTTACCAAAAAGATAAAACTGGAAAAAAACAAAAGGTGAAACGAGTGTTGGCAGGATGTGGAGAAAAGGGAAACTTGAGCACAGTTGGTGGGAATGTAAACTGGTGCAGCCTCTAGGGAAAACTATAGGGAGGTGCCCCTAAAGGGATTTAGAATAAGAACCATTGAATCCAGCAATCCCCACTCTGGGCATATATCCAAAGGACATGAATTCACTGGAAGAGATAGATGCAGCCCATGTTCACTGCAATAAGCAGGACCTAGAAATAACCTGAGTGTCCACTGATGGGGGAATGGATAAACAAAATGTGACATATGTATATCTCTGTATAAATATATACTTATAACTATAATTGTATAATATAATTTGTATACATACAATAGTACGCATCAAGTGTAATTATTGCATATATATGTATATATATGCAGCATTATTCAGTCAGCAAACAAGGATTTGCAACATTATGGATGGAACTTGAGGGCATTATGCTAAGAGCGAGAAGTCAGAGAGAAGACGTACTGCATGATCTCAGTTATAGATGGAAATTTAAATCAAGAACTGAACTAGTGATGAAGGAGCAGAAGGCAAGCTGAGGACCAAGCCTGAGCTGACGCTCTGAAACCCACCCCCCAACTCTGGGTGGGACCTCCCAACCACCTTAAGGTCAATACCTTGCTGGAAGGGAAAACGACTTTAACTGGACAATGGCAAGACTTCCAAGTGGTCTAAGTATCTTGCAGGTGGGTCCTCTTTAGCATATGAAAGTTCTTTTAAAACCTCCCTTTTTCTTACCTCTCCCAGCTCCCAGATATATCATCACCACTCCGCAAGATCCTGGGGCAGCCCCTCTTTCTGCCCACGGGTCCTGTCCCCACGCTTTAATAAAGTCACCATTTTTGCACCAAAGAGGTCCCAAGAATTCTTCCTTGGTCATCAACTCCAGACCTCACCCCACTGAACCTCACCTATATTCCAAAACCACATCACTAGAAACAGAGTAAGTTGGTAGTTACCCCAGGGCTGGGGGGTGAAGGTGTTCAAAGGATTCAAACTCCTTTATAAGTTCTGGGGATCTAACATGCAGTAAGGTGACTATAATTAACAATACAATACACTTGAAAGTCACTAAGTAGATTTTTTTAAAGATTTTATTTATTTGACACACAGAGAGAGATCCCAAGTAGGCAGAGAGGCAGACAGAGAGAGGGGGAAGCGGGCTCTCCGCTGAGCAGAGAGCCCGATGGAGGGCTTGATCCCAGGACCCTGAAATCATGACCTGAGCCAAAGGCAGAGGCTTAACCCACTGAGCCACTCTGGCTCCCCAAAAGTCACTAAGAGTAGATCTTAAAAGTTCAGACCACTTCACACACTGTGAAGTGATGGATGTTACATGGTAGTAATCATTTTGCAATATAGACTTCAATCGTCCTCTCCTGCAGCTTAAACTTAAGCGATATTATATGTTGATTACATCTAATAAAGCTGGCGGGAGGGGGTAGGGAACAAAACAAACTGCTAAAATTTTTTTTAAAGTTGATGCAATAAAATAATAATTTTTCCTTTGGTGAATTTTTTTTTTTTTTTTTTTTAATAAGAATTGATTTTAGGGCACCTGGGTGCCTCCCTTGGTTAAGCAACTGCCTTCGGCTCAGGTCATGATCCTGGAGTCCCCAGATGGAGTCCCGCATCAGACTCTTTGCTCAGCAGGGAGTCTGCTTCTCCCTCTGATCCTCCCCTTCTTGTGCTCTCTCTCTCTCTCTCTCTCTCATCCTCTCTCTCAAAATCTTTGAAGAAAAAAAAAAAAAGAAATGATTGTAGAGAGAGCATGCATGAGGTGGGAGGGACAAAGCGAGAGTAAGAATCTATAGAGGACTTCTCGCCTCCATCTCAGGACCCCCGAAATCATGACCCACGACCGGAGCAGAAATCAAGAGGGGATGCTTAGCCGACCATAATATCCAGGCACACCCTTGAGGAATACTTCGATCCTTCTTAAAAAATACTAAATCCCACACACGAAAACAAATTGTGGTTCTGTTTTGCTGGTTCCCTAAGCTCGTGTCAGAATAATCCCAAACTGCATAAAAAGGGAAGAATCACTGTGGGTCATCTGTTTGTATAAAATTCCAAGAGATGGGTGAAGAAAGTAGGGCAAGTTAGTAGTTCTCAGGTTGTCTCCAGGGCCTGGTATGCCTTTCTGCATTGACGCTCTGGGTCCCATTTCTATGCCTAAAACAAGAAGACAACAGCCCAGAGTTTCCCAACCTTAGTTTATCCTGGAATGCAAATCCCATGATTTATCCATCTGGTTGCATTTGTCAGTCTGGTTCTCTGCTGTATCATCATCAGCTCCTGGGATAGGGCCTGGATTATGGAAGGCAAGTAACACTGGGAAATTAGGAAGAACACAGTAGCTTCAGTGAATCCATGCCCCTGCCATTGAACAGGGGCCAACACTGGATCCAGACAGCAATAGACGTTCCTTCTCAGATGGGATGGTCTGACCGGTGCTTGCAGGAGGAGGAGTCAGAGAGACAGAAGTTGGGAGTAGAGGGAGCCTGACACAGCAGGAAAAGGACACAGAGGCCCTGGGCTTTCCAGCGATACCAGCATTTTCTACAACCCAACTACTTCCTCTAGCATCGAGTCTCTTAATGTTGTCCATTGCTGTGTATACATACAATGACCCCCAAAGTCAAGGGGCATGAAGACCACTGCCAATCATTTTAATGCTCACAGTTTTGCTCACTGAGGATGGCTTATCCTCTCTGTCCCTCGTGATGGCTGCGGGGGTAGCCTGGTGGCTGGAGCCTCCTGCCTGGCCCCACTCTCCTGTCTGGGGCCTTGATGCTCGCTAGGGTTTGAGGGACACCTCCAGGCGGACTCACCCTCCACCAAAACTTTCTCATCCGGTAGTTAGGCGGAGCTTCCCAATAAGGCAAATGTAAAACACCGGTCGGTGCTCCCGAAGCACTAAGCTCAGGTCAAAGCAAGTTACAATCAGACCCACCCAGATTCCAGGGAAAGGGCACTAGATACCACCCCACTGACCTTCTCCATACATACTCATTCCCATATTTATCCAATCAACACGTGGAGCTTGTACAGGTTCTAGATCTTGTGCTAAGACATTGGTGTACGCATACAAAAAGGACCGACACAATCTTATCCCCTCAGAGGTCCAATACGCTGTCTTGGGGTCTGGGATGGGGATGTGGCCCCAGAGCAGAGAAAAATGTTCTATGGAAACGTAGACAATGATGTTGACTTCACTGGGTCTAACTCAGGTGTTCCTGCTTTCGACCTACCCCTCCCCTCACCCCTGCAGGAAGGAGACTACTCAAGATTTTCTTAAGCAAAAGTCTGAAACAAATCACAGTCTTCCGAAGACAAATTATATTGCCCTCGAGTTCCTCAGCTGGTTCTCAAAAACTTGTCACTGATTCCTTGTCACTAAGAACTTTTAAACAACTCAAGTAGGAATTTCTTAGATTTAGCATCCCCGGCTACATTCCCCGGGGGGCGGGAGGGGGGGGTGTCCCATTGCTCGCCTCCCCTCGCAGGCAGGACGAGCCTTCTGCAGGCTTTGCTTACTGGTCTAACCCTCCCCATGCATCACTTCACTTAATACTCCTCACAAACCTGCTAGGTGCCGTCCTTACCCCCTTTCACAGACGGGAAAGCAGGCTCACAAGCTCAGTAAGTTGCTTATT